GGACTTCCGGGTAATGGCGACCAGGTAGGCAGCATAAAACAGAGGCTCTGCATCGATAGCTACAAAAGACCCCCTAATTCAAGGTACTGACTCGTCAAAAGTTACTTTTTCTCAAGAAGAATGAGCGGGGATAAAAGCAAGAAGGGACGAGTCCAGTCTCGGAATCCAGAAGCACGACACGAAAGCAAAGTTTGCGGAACCCACCCGGTCGAAGAAGGAGGGAAGACGGCGGATGAGACCTTGCCTGTTACGATTAGCTCACTGAGGCAGGTGGTGGGTGAAGTAGTGGCGGACGGCACGCGAGACCTCAAATTAGAACTGAGAAAGGAGTTAGCGCAAGTGAAAATGAGCGTGAAAGAAGAAATGAAGGACCTCTTGAACGAAATGACGTCTGAAATAAATCAACAGGTTAGCACCGCTATCAACAAGACAGAGGAGCTAGCTAAGCGCCTCGGAGAAATTGAGAAAGGCATGGCGAAGGAAGAGAGATGGGACTGTGGAGTGAGAGATGCTATTGCCCAGTTGCTGAGTGAACAGAAATTGCTCCGGGAGAAAGTTACGGATTTGGAAGGGCGCTCACGCCGGAATAACCTGCGGATATACGGCATTCCTGAAAATGCGGAGGGTACCTCGATGCTGAGGTACGTGGAAAACATGCTTAAAACTGAACTCGGGGACGGCTTGGATTTAGGCAGCGAGAAGAGCCTGGGGATAGAGAGAGCCCACAGAGCGTTGAGCGCGCAGCCCCCGGCCGGTGCCCCACCTAGATCCACGGTGGTTCGCTTCCTGAAATTTAATGTTAAAGAACAAGTCCTCCGCGCGGCGTGGAGAAAGCCTATACATATACAGGAAAAACGCATATTCTTCGACCATGATTATGCCGAAAGTATACAGCTGAAGAGGAGAGAATATGCTCCAGTTAAGAAGGCGCTCAAGGAAAATGCTATTCGGTTCCAAACCCCGCTGACTAAAATGCGTGTGCACTTCGACTCCGGCATGACCATCTACAACAGCGCGGAGGAGGCAGCCCTGGACCTGCGGAGACGCGGATTTACAGTGGGACCGGTGTGCGCAAACAGACCTAAAGTTATCACAGCGGAGATGATCAACAACCTTCTACCGGTGGATGTGGTTGGACCGCGACGCGGAGGGAGCGCGCCGGGCCTGCGAGAGAAGGCACGGGAAAAGTTGAGGGCTTTCCAGCGACCGGGCGGAGAGGACGTCGTTGTTGATGAGTAATCTTTTTTTTTCTTCTCCCTGCCGAGGAAATCTCGGCCGCCCAACAGCTAGCCCCTCGGGCTGGCTGATCAGAACTACTTAAAAACTCTGGGTGATCGGTTCTGCACAGGAATATGGTGGGGACTGTGACTCCATCCCAGGATGATGAAGGATCGATGCAGGTGACTCTTAGATTAATTTTTTCAGTTTCCTTTCTTTAAGTAGGCAACTAAGCAGGGGCCCCACGTAGTGGCAGTTTCCCCTACAATAGGAGGGATAAGAGTTCCTCTTATTTGGAAGACCTGTTCATTGTTATGTTAAGTTTTCTTTCCAAGTATTTTTGTTTGTTGTGTGTTCTGAGGGCTGGGAGTGTTGGTTTACAGGTGGGTAAAAACATGTTGATGTCTGGAGGATATGTTCCATAATGTATTGACTTTGAATGTGAATGGTATAAAGAATCCCATAAAAAGAAGTAAGATTATCTCAAAGCTTAAGCGAGAGCAGGTGGGTATTGGCTTTTTACAGGAGACACATTTATCTAGTGATGAACATGAGAAACTTAAGAAATTGGGTTATAGAAAGACATATTTTGCTTCCCACAGATCGGGGAAAAAAAGAGGGGTGGCTATTCTAATATCCAACAATATCAGATTTGATCTTATTTCAGAACACATAGATAAAGAGGGAAGATTTGTGTTGGTGAAGGGGAGGTTGGAGCAGGAAGAGGTCACTTTATGTAATATATATGCACCTCCTGGTAGTAAGGTGGATTTCTTTAAGGAAGTACTTAGTCTTGTGGCCACGGAAGCAAGTGGCACATGTATATGTGCAGGAGATTTTAACTTACTCCTAAATCCAAAGATGGATACAACTAGCAGAGAACGAAGAAGGACTCACTTAGAAAAGCAATTTAAAAAACTTATTCAAGAATTGGGACTTATAGATGTATGGAGATATTTGCAAAAA